CTTTAAGGGGTAAGGTTCCATTACATATTTTGTGTCCAGACGGCACCCTTTTCCCTATTACTCCTCGTGTTTTTAGATGTACATTGTTAGGGGCAACGAAAGTACGCGAACACAAAGATCCAATGAAAGCCAATAAAGCAATCACACACAAACACAAGATATACATGGTTTAGCCAAAACCGGCCTACGTCCATAGATGAGAAGAGATTCCATAATGATTCGTAAAGATATTACAACAATAGAGTACCAACACCACCACTCCACGAGCCTATTTCGTCGCTTTCAACGTCACCGGTGTTTTTCCTACTCTACCAACCCGCATACTACCTCTACCTATCAACTCCCTCATGAGACTACATCTCTCTCAATCTCATAAGTCTCAACCCAAACAAGAAATTACAATTTCTTGGTCAAGACTTGCCAAACAAGAAATTACCAAACATAATACAGCTCTAAAACAGAAACATAATTAGAATAGGAATTTGTAACAATCTCCACCTTGACTTAAATTCCATCTAGCCAATCATCGCTTCCGCGGCATTGATGAAGACAATTTTGTTGCAGCTTCAATCTTGACGATCCTTCTGTAAAACTCCGATTGTCCACACTCTACGCTGCTGGATCAGTCAAACCTCCAAGGCTCTACCTTGACAACTTGAGCTCCATGCCATGTAGCAAAGCCGATTGACTCCACCTACAACTGAAGCCCGTTGCAGCACATGTTGACACTTTGTGTTTTCTGGATCTCTTTCGCCTTTGGCTTTGATACCAATTTGTTAGGGGCAACAAAAGTACACGAACAAAAAGATCCAGTGAAAGCCAATAAAGCAATCACACAAAAACATAAGATATACATGGTTCAACCAAAATCGGCCTACGTCCATGGATGAGAAGAGATTCCATTATGATTTGTAGAGATATTACAACAATAGAGTACCAACATCACCACTCCACGAGCCTATTTCCTCGCTTTCAGCTTCACCGGTGTTTTTCCTACTCTACCAACCCGCATCAACTCCTTCATGAGACTACATCTCTCTTAATCTCATAAGTTTCAACCCAAAGCCTATGTATGTATTTATAGAGTTTCAAACCCAATTACTCATTGGACGAGGATTATAATTTCTTGAGTCCAAGACTTGCCAAATAAGAAATTACCTAACAGAATACAACTCTAAATTAGAAACATAACGGAAAACATACATGTTTAGTTCAGGACCAAACTCCTACACGTACAAAGATTGATGATAAAGCTATTCATTGTGTTTTTTTTTTGGGTTATTCAACTATATGACGAAAGGGTACCGTTGTTATGACTCAAGTACTCGTCAGATATATCATTATGTTAATGTCACTTTTTTCGAAGATGTTCCCTTCTTTGGCACATTCTTTTTGCAGGTTTCATCTTCTTTTACTCTATCGGTGACTTTCTCACCCCTAGCTCGACCTGCACCAGTTCTATCCTCAACATCTCCTCCTGTGGCTCAACCCGAGCTTCACGTATACACTCGTCGCCCACGAGATCCCCCTCATGCTACCCTGCCACTGTTCTTTTGTGGTACAGGTAATCCTAACCCCGCTATTCCCAATTCTACTTCAGAACTTACCTTGCCTACTTGTATTGTAGATCTTGCATCGCCTACTTTTGATTCTGATTTGCCTATTACTCTCTGTAAAGGTAAAATGACTTGTGTGACTAATCATCCTATTGCCCAGTTTGTTTCTTATCAGGGACTTTCACACAATTACCGGGCCTACCTTGCCGCCACCTAGGCTATTTCCATCGCTCGAACTATATTTGAGGCTTTGCAAGACCAACATTGGACAACAGCCATGGCTGCTGAGATGGATGCCTTGTAAAAAAACTAAGACGTGGGAGCTTGTTACTTTACCATATGGAGAGAGGATTGTGGGCTGTAAATTGGTATTTACAGTCAAATATAAACCAGATGGTACTGTTGATCGCTATAAAGCTAGGTTGGCCGCAAAGGGCTTTACACAAACTTTGGGGAAGGACTTTAATGCCACTTTTGCTCCGGTCGCGAAGTTGACTACTGTCCGCCTTCTTATTTCCTTAGCGGCTTGCTACTCTTGGGCTCTTCACCAGTTAGATGTGAAGAACTCCTTTCTTTATGAGGATTTTACAGAAGAAATTTATATGGATCCTCCTCCTGGTTTCGGGCTTCAAGGGGAGTATTATGGGAAAGTGTGTCGCCTTCTAAAATCCTTATATGGACTGAAGCAGTCACCTCGGGCATGGATTCACCGACTCAGTGGTGTAGTTATTTCTATGGGTTTCACTCGATGTCACTCAGATCACACATGCTTCTATCGTTGTAGTCCAGAAAATTGTTGTGCCATTATCTTATTATATTTTGTTGATACAATCGTCACAGGAAATGATGCATCTTTCATTGACAAGGTAAACATAGACCTGCTTTTGAGGTTAAAGACTTAGGTCCTCTTTGATTTTTTCTTGGTATTGAGGTTGCACGCTCTAAGCATGGAATTTTGCTCTCTCAGTGGAAGTATGCGTTAGACCTCCTACGGGACACTGGTCTGCTTGGGTGTTGTCTTGCTTCCTCTCCTATTGATTCGACGCATCGGCTTCATGCCGAGTCTGGAGACCTTTTTCCAGATCCGTCTGCTTATCAACGCCTTGTTGGCTGCTTAATTTATCTAACAAACACTAGACCTGATCTCACATTTGCGGTTAATGTTGTGAGTCAATTCATGCATGCTCGTCGGACCTCACACTTAGATGCAGTATACCAAATTCTTCGGTACCTCAAGTCCTACCTAGGACTTGGTCTATTCTCCAAATCCACACCACAGTCTCTTTTCTCGTGCTACACCGATGTTGGAAAAAAAACTTAGTCGTTGCTGTATTAATTGCGTATAAGTTGTTCATGTATTCTTGTGTATGCTACTATTCTCGTTATATAGGCCTAAGAATCTTTAAGTAGGTTTTTGATCAGAGCTATTAGGGTTTTTGAGTTTAAAACAGAAAAGAAAACTTAATTTCCACTAGATTCAATCGATCCATTGTTGGTTCAACCCGGTCTAACTAAACCAGTGAGGGACGATTGATGCGTCTATCAATTGGATTCTCTATTTCTTCAGAAACACGAGATTTCATTTTAAAAACTGTTTATATACACTCTATAAAGTATGTGATGCATTCTAAAGTGGAGCATAATCTGTGATACAAATGTTTAGAACAAAATGCTAATTGGTGAGCTGGGTATTTGAGAGGTGATTTTATCCTTTTGCCCGTGTCCTAATCTCCAATTGTCATCTGCAAGATCCATTGATCATCAACATCTAACTCTTAACACTTCAACTAACATTGAAAAGTAAATAGAGTCTTTTGTTATGAAAATTGCTAGTAGTAAGTCCTGACGACCTAACAATTTCTGGTGCAAAACAGAAACGCAAATTTTTTTTGTCCCCTTAATGTTGATAATTTTATTGATACAAATGGACAATACAAAAGAGAAGTGATCAAGACAGAGATCACAAAGAGAACAACTAGTCCAGGGCATACCCTAAACTATACCAAGACAAAGAAATAAGCATGTGAAACTTAAAAAATTACATGTAAATCAACTAAAAGATTCCCATAGAGGAAATCCCTTCCGAACATGCTCCAAAGCCTCCAATGGCTACTGATCTGTAGAGGTCAACAGTCCACCATGTAATCTTCTATTCCTCTGAGACCATAAACTCCATTTGGTTGCAGTAAAGAAACATTTTGAAACCCTACTGGCCTACTCTTAATAGAAGAATCTGCAAAAGTGTTAATGAACCATCGAGTGACTGCATCCAATGAATGAAGATCTTGTAAGCCATCCCATTTGCATAAGTGAATAAACTAATTCCAAACTTGACTAGCATAGTTGCATGTCCAGAACAAGTGATCATTAGAGTCCTCCCACAGTAACAATTGTGATGAACTGAGATGATAGTGAGATGTCTTCTCCTTAAATTGATGAAAGATTTGTTGGAATGCTGCAGCACTAGAACAACCAAAAGAGAGAGCTAGGCCTGCAACCATTCCAAACCAGCATATACCTAGGCACTTGAACTCCTTGCTGTCTATAAATCATCCATGCTACTTTAAAAGAAATTTTTTCATTATATCACACCACAGCATCCTCCTCTACTGGATTCACAGCTCTATTCAAACAACATCCAATTTCTTCAGGCCAAGAAGTTGGGACAGCTCATCTACCAGAGTTTCAAAGGATGCTGACAGTGTCTTTGAATTGAAATCCAGCATCAGAAAGTCTTCTAAGGAAAACTTTTGCTGCAAAGATGCACCATTGAACCATGGGTCAAAAAACAGACTCAAAGTAGTACCATTATTGACATGCAATCTCAAGTGCTGCAACATGAGGTCTCTAACTGACAAGATTGCCTTCCAAGATGGTGAATAGTAGGTCTGACAATCAAAGTCCAAAAATTGATTTTGTTTTCTTAGAAAAATATATTAGAAGTAAACAATATGCTCCTAAAGTTCTACTTTTCTTTGTGGGCTTCAATTGTTTTGATTTTCTTGACTTTACACAAAATCATATATGCAGTATCCTTGTTTACATATATAGATTTGTTTTGTGTGTGTTTGGTTGATCCTTTTCCTTTTCGTGATATTTGAATGAAATTAAAATTACTGTAATAATAAATAAATAAAAAAATCTGTTAAATTATCTGCATTTAAATCCTTGTGATATTCAAGAAAATTTAATAGGCTTCATAAAAATCCATGCTTCCAGGACCGGTTGATCATGCGAGTAGTTTAACTGTCTGTACTGAACTTACTGCTACATGCTGTAACTCGTGTTTGTATCAAATTTCAAGTCTTCTATGGTTGGATCAGTTCATGGTTAATTTGAAAGTTGCTATGGTGGTTTAATTCATTGTAACAAGGGATTTTAATGTTTTATGTTCTTCTTTTTTCTCTCTCTTCTTTTTATTTTTTTTATTTTTTATAACAACAGTTGCGTGGAAGGGTGGGGCGGGCTGATAAGGAAGCCCATGCACACTTATTTTACCCCGATAAGTCACTACTTTCTGATCAAGCACTGGTATGTTATAATATCATTATTATTATTTTCTCTTGGTATGTCCTATTAACCATATGTTTAGTAGGTCCGTGAAATTTACCCTAGATAATTATGTTGTTCTTTAATACCAAAGGGAAGAAATTTCTAAAGAAAGAAACATAGTGGTGGAACGATGAAATACAAGTGATACTACATCAGAGAAAGAACTTCAAAAAGTGACAGAAATTTGAAAAACACAAGAATTTGGAAAGATATAAAAATAAATAAATTAAAGGTGAAGATAAAAAAAAGTGTAAATAAGGTTAAACAAAATTGTTAGATGATTTATTGATCGGTTGGTCAATTAAACATCAACCTTAGCAGTAGCACGAATCATTGTAAAATAGGGCTATTGGTCGGGTAAGTCGAACCACTGGGACTGCGCTAGTCTTACGGCAACCTTAGTGTCTAGAATCTTTCTAGAATGATGAGGGGGTGTTCATAAAGGTTTTGTTTGCTGTCACTTAAATTAGGAATTCAAAGTGCATAAAACACTAATTTGCAAGGAATTTAGGATGAAATAGAACAATAGAGAAGAGACTAGGGAAGAGACTCCACAACCATCAATAAGTATGCTAGGATATGATTTACTTAGGGGAATAACATATATGTATAACCATAGGATGCAACAACACAAATTATTACATTCCCTTCAAGAAATTTATGAAATCAATAGGTAAGAATAACCTATCAAAGCATTGCATGTTTTGGTTACCTAAACTAGGTTGTAACCTTAGACATACTCACTAAGCATAGAGTTATCAAGCCCTTAATCACATAGTAGAAGCACATGACACAGAATCCAAGAATAATCTATCAAAGGAAGATCCTAAGCAATAGATTATCAAATCTCCTAAATATCATGCTATTAACAACACTTCCATAAACTCCATTCCATTGTCACTATGAAAATGTAGCAATATAATCATAGGAGAAAAACCATCTAAGACAAGATATTTAACTCAAGATGATTATGTATAGGTATTGAAATTCATTACATCAAATGAAGAGCTCTAGTTCATGGAAGGATTACATACATATATTAACCCCCAAATATAAATCAAAACAAAGCAAAGCTTACAAAATGGAGCTTCATCACCTCCCTATAGGAGGTTTAGTTACCCATGGTGGCCCTAGATGAAGGAAGAAGCAAGGCTTTCCCCTCCATTTTCGAGCTTCCTCCTTGAAGCTTCAAGAACTCCTCCTCTTTGCTCTCTTCTCTCTCCTCTATCTTACAAAAATTCAAGGATATGAAATGTGTGGCCTTTGGTTTCCTTTTGTCCTCCAACAAAACCCTCTCTCTCCTCCAAAAAACATCCCCAACCACCTCATTAATAGGGAAATCCAAAGTTGAAAATTTCAGAGCACAAGTGGGCTGTCTCGTGGAGCAAACTGCCCAAATTTCGAGTGCTCGAAATAGGGCCTCGAGCACTCAAATTTAGTGTAAAAAGCTCCATGCTTCACTTGCTCCGCCCAGACCTATTTTGATGAAATGGCCATAACTTTGCGCTCCGAACTCCGAATGACGAACCGTTTAAAGATTTGGAGAGCTGATTCAGAGCTTTAAAAACTTCATGTTTTGATGAAGACCCAAATCTCAAGTCTGGTTGGTCGAAAATGGGGAGAAAGGCAGTACTTCAGTGCTGCCAGGCAGTTCTGCGCACCTCTGGTAACAAGGCCATAACTCTCTGCTCCGAGCTCCGAATGATGAACCGTTTGAAGATTTAGAAAGCTAATTCAGAGCTCTAAATCTTTCATGTTATGATGGAAGTCCAATTCTCGAGCTTTCTGTGTCAAAATGGCGAGCAAAGTCCTAACTCCACTGCTGATCTCGTGAAGCAATCTGCCCTAATTTCGAGCACTCGAAATAAGGCCTCGAGCACTCGAAAATTGGCCAGAATGCCTTATGCTTGGTTTGCTCCGCCCGGACCTACTTTGGTAAAACGGCCATAACTTTGTGCTCTGAAATCCAAATGATCAACCGTTTGAAGATTTGGAAAGCTAATTCAGAGTTCTAAAAACTTTATGTTTTGGTGGAGATCCAATTCTCAAGGATGGTTGGTCGAAATTGAAGAGCAAGGCAGAAATTCATTGCTGCTAGGCAGTTCTGAGCACCTATGATAAGAAGATCATAACTCTCTGCTCCGAACTCCGAATGACGAACTGCTTGAAGATTTGGAAAGCTGATTCAGAGCTCTAAATATGTCATGTTATGAGGGAAGTCCAGTTCTCGAGTTTTCAAGGTCAAAATGGCAAGCAAAGTCCAGGTTCCACTGCTGCCAGAAATTCAGCATTGTGACCTTTGATGTTCAAAACTCCACAAAGCATCCTTCTTGCTTCTTTTTGGCCAATGAACCTGAAAATATGCAAAAACGTGCATATGAAGGTAATCTACATAATTAAACAAACAATGGACTTAAATAATGCAATTAAGGGCGCTTGAATATGCAATATTCGGCGCTTATCACACCCCCAAACTTACATTTTGCTAGTCCCTTAGCAAAACCAAAATGAATACTTCAATGAAAATACAACCATGGGCATGCTACCACAAAAATATCATCCATGGTGAAATGAAGTGCAAACATAGCTCAAATACAATTTGAAACAACAAAGAACTGGAGATGGGGTCATTGGGAAGACTACCTTGCATATATGAAGCATTGATACTAAACACATTTCAACATGTATGTATCAACATCATAGACTATATAAATAACTCAATTATCATCTCTTGAATGGAAATCAACTCTAACTTCAGTGAAAGTGAATTGGATTCTCAACATGCGGCTTTTTCTTTCTTTTCCAATTCCAAAGCACAAGTTTTCAAATCATTGAATTCCCCTTTAAATGAGGTCCCTAAGGCATGATTTTATTTACAAGACAACTTTTGTTGCTTGTTGACAATTTATTGCAACTCATAAGCGAAACATAGAATGGTTGTGCAATCCTTAAGCTTTCTAACCAACCTATGTAGCAAGCGTTAGGCCAACAACTCCCAAACCAGATGGCTTTAGGGTGTTAAGTGTAGAGACGCTCCAAAGGGCTTAATAGCTCAAGTTAGAAAGGCTTCCAACTCTAGCGAACCATGTTTATTACAATTTTATTGAATGGCCGTGCAATGTTTAAGTCCTTTAAGCTTTCTAACCAACCCTTGTAGGAAGCGTTAGGCCAACAACTCCCAAACCAGACGGCTTTAGGGTGTTAAGTGTAGAGACACTCATAGGGCTTAATAACTCGAGTTGGAAAGGCTACGAACGTCAACTGGTCATTATTTTCTTTCTTTCATTTTTTTTTTTTTTTTTTTTTTAGACTCATGCCAAAAGTATTCATCCATTAGGTTCATCAAATCAGATTAACTGGGCCAAGGTCAAGGTCAATCAAGTTGCATGCCTCACAGTTAAGTTTTCAATGTGCATCTGTGCATTGTGAAGCTTAAAAGAGTGTCAAATCCAACGAGAATTTAATTGAGACATTTATACAGATTAATTTGAATCTACATGATCATTTTAACTCAAATTTTCTTTATTTTCAAAAATATCAGCTGCTTCTATACACAAAGTTTTAAACATATGCTTTCATCTCCAACAGGTTTCAAATTCCATTATCATTGCTTAGCAAAAATGTAAAACCAAAAATGCATAAATGCACCCCCAAACTTGAATGTCACATTGTCCTCAATGTGAGAAGACAAGTAAATGAAAAGAAGAGCAAAAAGGGGGGAAAGGAACAATAATACCAAGTGGAGTGACAAAGGCGAAGATGTTCAGCTATGTGAGTGCGCAATTGCGTCCCCCAAACTTGGACATGAAGACCTATTAAAATACAACTAATATACACATGTAAAAGCATAGGCTCTTAAGAAAAATCAAAACAGAATTAAAAACACTAACCTGAATTGTAGTGCAAGATAAAAATCCAAACAAAACACAAATGCAGACATTAGCCACAAGTGTAAAATGGATAGCAAAAGAATGCCAAAAGTGTGCCATTTTTTTTTTTTTTTTGAATGGCATGCATGAGGGTGTTGTGGAGGAATTGAGGATGGGGTTGATTGAGTGTGAAGGGTGGTGGCCGAGAGGAGAGCTTGGCATGGGAGGGTTGGTGCATGGAGTGGTTGATGAGATGGTTGTGAGGTGGTGGGTTTGGAAGAGATGGATGAGTTGCCGAGTGTGAGCTTGCATGGATGAGGTTGGTTTGGTTAGTTGTGGGTGCATGGTGGTGTGCCGAGGGTGGAGTGTTGTGTAGTGGTGTGCATGGTGAGGGTGGTGAAAGCATGGTGGGCATGGGGTTGGGTTGATTGGTGCAAACCGAGAGGAGTGATGGGGTTGGGTTACTTGGTGTGGGTAGGTTGGTGGCAGGGTGGTGGCTAGTTGGCATGCAGGGGTTGGCCTGGATGGAGAGATGCCGAGAGGTTGAGAGAGGTTGAGGGTGAGGCAACGAGTGCTCGGGGCGTTGGCATGAGGTGTTCGAGCACTCGCTAGGGGGAGCTCGAGTGCTCGAAATGGAGCCAGTAGGTTCGGTATGTTGGGGTTGGCTATGGAGAGAGAAAGAAGGTGGAATTCGAGCACTCCAAATAGGATCGGCGAGTGCTCGAACTGAGAGCAGTGAGTTGGGTGGGTTGGTGCATGAAATTCGAGCACTCAAACAAGAATTTAGAGTGCTCGAAAATGGCTCAGTAGGCTAGGGGGTGAGCTCGGCTGTGAGGACTGAAATTTGGAGCAATCCAAATGGAATTTAGAGCGCTCTAAAATTGGGCAGTGGTGCATACAAGATTGGTTCACAATTAGAGCACTCTAAAATGGAGCTAGATTGCTCGAAATGAAGGCAGTGACTTCGGCAAGTTGGTGTGGTAATTTGGAGCAATCCAAATGGAAGCTAGAGTGCTCCAAAAATGGGCAGTGAGCTTGGGATTGATGGTGAAGACATTTGGAGCAATCCAAATGGAATTTAGAGTGCTCCAAAATGGGTAGTAGCTCATG